ATGGAATCAGCCTCTCTGAGAGCTACCACAGAGTTCGGGAAACCTTACTACCAGCCGTCCTCAGAACCATTAAACTGAGTTTTAGAGCTGTACCCTCATATGGAGATAACAGGAAGAATTGCATAGCCATTATCAAGGAGGCATAAGCAAAATTCTATGAGTAGAGTCAAGGAGATCCAGCATTCATCATCCTAGGCAGGAAACAAAGTAACACAGGTTACATCTACGCCAGCCTAATAGATGAAGAAGGGGTTCGAGGCTGGTTAACAGAATTTTTCTGCTTACCCCTAAAGTCTTTGCCTAGGAGGCCTTCTACAAGACCATAGCAGGATGCAGTTAACATCTGCCCAAAATGAGTATTTTTATCGAGATACCATCTCTAGCCTTTACTCAACCAAGAGCCCCAAGGCAGGGGATGTTTAGCTGGATGCAGTTGACATCTGCCCAAGATGAGTGTTTTTATCGAGACACTATCTCTAGCCTTTACTCAACCAAGAGCCCTAAGGCAGGGGAATTTTTAGTCGGAGTTTATTTCTCCTAGCCTTTGCATAAGAAGAGCACACTCTGCAAGGCAGCAGGGCTTGTGGCAGGTGGTACTGGGTTACGTGATACCAGTAGCAAGATTGATCTCGATTATCCTGACATGACCTGGAGTAGTTAAAAGGAGTTACTTCCCGCAACAGTACTTTGAGAAAACCAGGCATGACATTTTGGAAGTGCATTAGGAAAAACACTGCATCTAACAAAATACAGGAGTCTAAGGTGAGTGTACGTTTTGTAGTTGGAGTAAGTAGTTAGTTACTGAGCTCACGCTGCATTAGAGTATAAACAGAACACAAACAAACATAAATCAACTTACGGGTGAGTCAACACCGCGCCAGAGGTTCAGACAGAACACAAACATACATAAAAAACATAAAGTAACTTAGGGTGAGCGAACACCGCGCCAGAGGTTCAGACAGAACACAAACATACATAAAAAAATATAAAAAACATAAACATAAACATAAAGTAACTTACGGGTGAGCGAACACTGCGTCAGAGGTTCAGACAGAACACAGACATACATAAAGAACATAAAGTAACTTACAGGTGAGAAGTTGTTATTAATAAAAATTCATTAGGCATATTACATAAAATAAACTATATTACAAACACATCAATTCTAGATTCCTAAATGCATATTTAAATAAATGCAATATGAGTTTTTGAAATACAAAACAAAAATGTAACATAATACTACCAAATACAAACATGTATTTGACCAAAACATATATATCAACTGACACATGATGTAGTTGACGCTTCTAAAAATAAAATCTAAATTAACAAGTAAATAAAATTTATGGAAAAGTAAAAAATATTCTTACAAGTGTTATTTTTTTAGCATTAGCATTTTTTTTTTTTTCCTTTTAATTTTTCTGTTCAACTTTAAATTGTATCTAATTGGTGTTTCACACTATCTATTTCTAAATTTTAACTAATACTACAAATTCAACTAATTTTAACTAATAATATATAATTAAATAATAATAACTAATTATTCTAAATTTTAACTAATTCTACTAATTCTAAATTTTAACAAAACTCATTTTTATTTTATTTATTGACATACATATATTATTGACATGGTATTTTTAGCAAAAACAAAATCAGGGTTTACATTATTAAAACTGACGCTAAAAGCAAGGATTTTAAGGAGACAAATTTACTCTCATTTAATTCTAATTAATATAAATATTTTGTAAACAAAAAATAGTAAGCATTAGTAATGTTAACAAAGAATAAATAAAGTTTAAAATGTAATCAGGCACGGAACAGAAAAACTTCTATTTTAGTTACTAGATAAATAAACTTTAATTCCTCTGACAATATAAGTTTCACCGGTATACTTTTTTTTTTAAATAATATTTTAAACATTAGTAAAGATTTCCAGAAAGTTATAGGATTGCACTATGAATCATAGAGTCACAGCAATCGTTTAAATGCAGTTTATGAATGATAACGCACGGAAGTCACGCACGGATGTTGCAAATTTGTCAATTTCATGTAGTTATTTTTATGAAAATACATTGCTTGTGAGTATTTCAAGTGAAATATTATACTTCTGTGACTCATTTAATATATTTTCGATGAGAAATGGCAGTCATCAATTATTTCTAGCAAGAGTATGGCGTTTTGAAAATTATTGTATATTTTTCAAAATGTAGCGATATTATTACCTAAAAAAATAAAATTGTAAAAAGTGTGTATATTTAATTTGTTCAGCCTAAAATATGATAAAAATATTTTTGTTATAATTGTTCTTTAAGAAAATCAAAATAGTATGCATATTGCATAAAGTCCCAGCTTTTAATTGTTAAAACAAAGAAAAATAAAAAACTACGCACATAAATGGAAATGCCCATATATATATATATATATATATATATATATATATATATATATATATATATATATATATATATATATATATATATATATATATATATATATATATATATATATATATATCAGGCCTTGTTTTAAATAAAAAAGTGCTTAATGCATTAGCTTAACGCGATTTTGACGTCATAAAATTATCTTTATTTTTTTTTATAGACGTTAAGTGTTTAACTACCGCAATAAATAAATAACTGCAAACTAGTTCAATTTAACAATTAACTCAAATAACTTTAAACGTTTTAAATGTAATTTTATTATGAAAAGTTTGAAATGTTTGCAATTGTTATTTTATTATTAATTTTAGTTCAATATTATTTAGTAAAAAAAAAAGAAGATATATATATAAATATATATATATATATATATATATATATATATATATATATATATATATATATATACATATATATAATCTTTTGTCTTTCAGCTGAAAAAGGTGCTTCTTACATAATTTTGTGGATTCAGGCTGGCATGGAATCCTTCATTCCCTCTTGATGTTTCCAGGTCAAGCCTCACTCTTCTCATTGGTTTTCTTCACATTATTCTGCTGCAATTTCCAATCACAACAGTTACTTCCATATCTATCAGCAAAACAATTTATAGAAAACAGACGTCTGTTTACTGTTGCTAGAAACAATTGTAAAAAGGTTTTGTCTAACGCCAAAGCTTGCTGTTCTCGGGTCATAAAAGCTTGTATTTCATCACAAAAATTAGGTTTTCGTGATTTCTGGAGAATCTTTAACAGTATTTACAAGGGCAAATCTGTTATTCCACCTCTCTTGTATGGTTCAGACTTTGTCACCTCATCCAAAGACAAAGCTGAATTGTTTGCTAAAAACTTTTCATCAATATCTTCTCTTGATTCCACTAGTTGCATTCTACCTGATATAGCCATCAAGCAGGTTGATCTATTTGTATCACTCCAGCTTCTGTATCAAAAATGACTTCCTGCTTAGACTTTTCTACAGCTTGTGGTCTGGACAATATACCTGTTATAGTCTTGCAGAAGTGTTCTCCGAAGCTGTTGTCTATTCTTTCAAAACTATTTAACAAGTGCTTATGAGAGTCTGGTTTTATGCCATACTGGAAAGCGGCATCTGTTATCCCTTTTTTTTTTAAATGGCATCTGTTATCCCTATTTTCTAAGTTTTTGATTCTTTAATTAACAAATACTTAATCTCTCATCTTGAATATAATAACTTACTTTCTATTCATCAATATGGATTTCGATCTTCTCGTTCTACAGCTGATTTGCTAACAGTAATAACTGATAGGTTTTATTGTGCATTAAATAGAGGTGGAGAGTTTAAGGCTATTGCTCTTGATATTTCTAAAGCTTTTGATAAATTTTGGCATGCTGGTCTTCTCCATAAGCTTTCTTCTTACGGCGTATCAGGTAACATCTTTAACATTATTGAGTCCTTCCTTTCCAATTGGAGTATAAAAGTTGTCCTCAATGGACAGCACTCTTCTTTATATCCTGTATCTTCAGGTGTTCCTCAAGGTTCAACCCTTGGTCCTATACTCTTTTAATTTACATTAACAATCTTCCAGATATTCACATCTAAAATGGCATTGTTTGCTGATGATACTATTAATTCTTGTCATGATTAGAAGCCAACACTCTCTAATTGCTTGAAGGGGCATTTAAGCTTAAAAAGGATCTCACTTCTGCTGCAGCATGGGGCTCACAGTGGCTGGTGAACTTAAATTCAGATAAAACTCAATTTTTTTAGACAAGGTGCAAAAACACATTGTAAGCATAGTTGGACCTGCTCTTACAGCCAACCTTTAACCATTATCACAACCTCCAACCATAAACTCTTATTTGTCTAGCTTTTTTCCTCAAACATCAGTTCTTTGGAATTTGCTAGCAATTTCTTTGGAATTACTTGCTTCCCTGATTTATATAATTTGCTTCCCTGATTTATATAATTTGCATTCTTATAGGTTGTCTGTCAATTGTTATCTTGCTCTACAAACTTTATCTTTTTTCTTACAGTAATTTCCAACTCTTATAGTGGTTGCTTGCAGCCTTGTTGGAAGCAAAGTTGTAAAAATAAAAAGACAACTAAAAAAAAAACAAGACTTCTGTGCTTTAGCAACCCTATTCAAATATGATTTTTTATGTACTTATTTACAGGAAAGTAATGTAAATTAGTTTAAAAATTTGAAATGACATAAATTTCAAATTTTTAAACAAATTGTTAAATCCAAGTCATTAGTTTTTGATGATGCCACTGTGCAGAGAAACAGGTTTGGGGTAATTTTATAAACATAGGAAGGACCTCAAACTTTGAGGTCCTATGTTTATCATAGGACCTCAAACTTCAGGTGGATAAAAAACTTAAATCTGTGTTATTTATATTTTTTACTTTATTGTATGAAACTCTCTGTTTGCTATTTTCCAACAATAATCAATTAATAATGGCATAGAAAGGTGTTGATTTAATTGTTTATAAAAAATTATATAATGGCTTTTTGTTATTGTATATAGTTTTTTTATTTGATTATATTTACAATTTTTACAATTTTTATATTTTTATTTTGTTAAGGTCACTTTTACTTCAACACTGAAAAATTAGCAGCAAATTCTCACTTTTTAACACCAGATGGATGCTACTCATTATGCAAATTACTCTATGTAATAACCAACTTAAATCCACTTATTAATTACTGTCCTATGCTTGAACCAATTACTATTGTAATGCTCCATTTTATGAATGAGGAAGACACTTTTTCATGCTTGTCTGGCATATTGAGCAAAAATCTACTTGATGAAACCCAGTCTGAAAACACAATCACAGATTGTACATTGCAAGATCTTCTAAAGTTTAAGAAGGTTTGTATAACTTTTAATTTTAAAGTTTGTATAATTTGAAAAAATAATATGAATTTAAATAAATGGATTCTTATAACACAGACACACACACATATATAAATATGAATATAATAATAATAGTATGATTATAATTAACATATAAAAATTAACATAAATTATTTTATGATTTTTTTTATTATTACAAATGTGTGAAATATTACAAACAAAAAATCAAAAAAGTACATTTTAACCTTGATGCTTAAAACACTATTTTTTAATTCTAGTTTTCTATTCGCATTTTAATTTAAAAATAGTAAATGTTCCATTCCATCAATTAGCAGTAATGACTTCAAAACTTTCCAATCATTGTTTGTACATTTTTTCTTGTTTTTACAATTAACAAAACATTACTACTAAGGGCTTGTATTTGAGATGCTATTTTTTTGAGTTATTGCTAAAGTTGATGGTTTGTCATGTTTCATACTTTCGTTAACTTTTACTATTAAATATTTAATTTTTCAATTGTTTTTTAAACTATTAAATTTATGATATTTTTCATTTTATAACATCTAAAATGAAAAAAAAATTACTGTCATTTACTAGTTTGTTATTAAGCTTCTTTTAAATAATTTCATTGTGTTATTTGTTGAACAGTTCAAAATAATGCACACAATTTTTCTACCAATGATCTATTTTTATAATTTCTCAAGAATTATTTTATGTAGTTTTATTACATCATGAAGCACATCAACCCTGAGTACTTTTTTAGCCTGCAATTATTATTAAAATGCTGGCAAGTAAAGGCAATCTAGAATTTATTTTGAATAATCACAAATCACTTGTGAGGTTAAGATTTCAACTTTACTACATTATCACTCTGTAAAAAAGGTTGATCTTTTATTGGGGATCTGTTGTTCCTCAATCATTTAACCAATTGCCTAGTTCAATTTATAGTTTTTGCTGATAAAAAATGCAAACAGTAATTACACTTTGCTTTTTGTAACTTGTTATTAAAAATTTTTTAAAGATGCTTAAACTTTTGATATATATATATATCTTTTTTAGTGGACTTTTTTTTAGTAACTGTTCCATATCAATAATTAGAGTTGTAGCACTTAGATAAATAGATAGATAAAAATTTATTAAAACAAGTTTAAAAACTACATGTTCTAAAGGACATATAAAGGTCCAATAATTGGACACTGACAATATGCCTCTAAATAAGTATAAAAATAGTGTACACATTGAACAAATATAGTTTATAATATAACATTTAAAATCTCATTCATTCATTTACTTAATAGAAGCAGTGTTTTTCAAAATTGCATGATTTTATTTTATTTTTAAACATAGAAATGTTATCTGCGTTTACAGCTTCTGATGTCAGATTATTCCAGATATTTACAAATTGTTGAGAAAAACAATATTTGCGAATGTCAAGTTAACATCATAAAATTAAAATTCCCAATTTAAAGGTAAAAATAAAATAAAAATTCTTCAAATAAATTTTGCCAAATCCTAAATTAGAGTTTAATAATAATTCTAAAATGTATCGAAAATTAAGTATTATTAAATATTTAGAGAAATAAAATCGCCGTTATTAGTATAATTCTTCGACCATATAAACTCAGTTTATATGGTCGAAGGTATAATTACGCGATTGCTCAACCGTGAAATGTCTCTTGAGAGAAAATTTCTGAGAATTGGGACTTTCCAAACGATTTCAGGGATTTCCTTGACAACTTGCTTGTAAAATTAATTTCTCAAAATTTACATATCATTCTTTGCAATGCCTTCTAACAACAGCAAATATTATATAAAAAGGTTAGCTAGAAACAAAGTGCAATCTAAAAAAATAACAAACTTGTTTGGTTTCAATCCTGAAAATGCTATTTCTTTAAAAGCTTTGCCTGTTTTGGCTGAAAATTCAAATAAACTATTGACAAACTCTACTTTAAGTAGTACATCTACCTCGTCAACAAGGTTGATTCAAAATACCGAGAACCCGTTTACGTCAGATAATTTCAAAATTTCAATTAATGTGGATATTATGGTCTTTTAGTTTATGTTTTTTTTTTTTTTTTTTTTGGTATTTTATATCAACTGAATTACGTGATCGTATCGACTATAATTTTTTAGAAATATAAGTTAAATACAAAAAATGTAATATAATTATAACAAACTGTTACTAAAAATTGTTTAACGACGAAATTAGATTTCTTTATTTTACTGCTTGCTTGAATTTAAAACGTAAACTAAATACGTATATTAAAACGTAAATTTAATACTTTTAATAACAAGAACGTTTTTTTTATAATAACAAACTGATACGAAAAAATTAAATAACAAAAAAACTAAATTCACCGCTTCCTTGAATTTAAAATGTAAAAGTAAATGTTTGAATGAACCATGTAAAAGCAAATGTTTGAATGAACATTTTATAACATTTTATGACTATGAATGAAAAAATAATTATTAGTGTTATTTGCTGCAACGATATAATGCAATCCTTGGCACCAACATTCTTCTGTAATTAAACATTTTGTTATTGTTTTTGGTGAGACTTTGTTTTGCTATGCCATTTATGTATAAAATGTATAATTATGTATAATTATAAAATTGAACTTGCAATAAATGTGAATTATGAAATTTACTAGCTCGTGTTTAATATTTTTGCAACTTTTTCTATTTTTCTATTATTAAAACATTCCTTTTGATGACACAATCTATTACATTTTAGTGTAAGGATTTGTCCCCAAAGGACGTCTATTTAAATAATAATAAGTAGAAGATCATTGGCTCTTTTCCGAGGAGGCTTTCATAAATCGCTATATTATTTTAAAAATCTCTGCACACAAGAGCCATTAATCTCCTACTTCTAGCTATTAGGTAAATTCAGCGTAACATCGCTTTTTGTAGACAACTCGTAAATAGTAAAAAATGAAAACTCCCAAATCATATTTTTTTTAATTATAAACTCCAGGTAGATCCTGATGTTACAAAAAATGAATCGTTAACTAAGAAACCAAAACTTGATTTACATTTGAAGTCGACTGAAAAGTACGATAGACTAATTACCGATTTTTATTTTTCGTCAGCGTTAAATGGTTGGTTTTGTAAAAAGAGAGTTGTACTATGCTCAATGTTTATGGACTGGTTTTAAAAGAACTAGTTTAAATCAGGATTTATATAGTAACTGCATGTTTGTATTGAATTTACTGTTGATTTTTCCGATAAGTGTTGCTTGTGTAGAAAGGCTGTTTTCTAAATTAAAACTAGTAAAAAATCGACTACGCAACCAGTTGTCTCAGAGTACACTTGAAAGTCTTTTGATGATATCAACCGAAAGTCCTGAACAAGGATTCGAAGACGAGGTTCTTGAAAGTTTTGTCAGGGAGCTGAAAAAAAGAAATCCTAACATCAGAGTTAAACTATAATTAATATAATTAAAATATTTATTTTACCTCTGAGTTGTAAATAATATAAAAAACAAAACAGTGTGTCTAATTAATAAGGCAAACTGTTTTGTCTTATGCGAGAATTTATATTAGTTTTTATCTTTTTAAAAGATATTTTATACTTGACTTCTTCACCTAGGAAAGTTAACAAAAAAATAATTTAAAGTTGTTTATTTTCACTAATATTCATATTTAGCATTAAAGATTATTTTAGGAGTATTTATAAAAGTATTTTTTCTTTTGTTTATAAATAAATAACAATCAAAATACGGTTGTGTTTAAGAAATGCGTTACTAGTTTAAAATATTAGTTGCTTACTCGATTTGATTGTGTATCAAAAAATAATTTTTTTATTTTATTTTTGGCGCTGTTCAAATAATCTATCCAGGGCTGTGGAGTGGAAGAGGAAATAAGATAAAAAAAGGGCCCACGCATTCCCGGAACACATTTTAATTACAGGAATGGTGGAGAGAGTGGATGGGGCTGTGGGTTGGGGTAGGTGTGTGTGTATGGGGCTGGGGGTTAGGGTAGGTAGGGGGAGGTGGAGGGGTATTATTTCGAAAATATTTTATCAAAATCCCAATTTCGTCAAAACGCTGTATCAAATTTGTTCCTGGTTAACACCCTGCATGGGTATATTTATTATTGGTAATCTCAAAAAATGAACTTTTATCTATACAAACCAAGTTATGCATAATTTATATATTTAATATATTTGTGTAGGGCCTATTCTAGAAAGGAAAAAAAAAAGGTCCTCAAATTCTAATTTAGGTGGCGCCCAAATACGGTTGACACTGTTGAAAACGGTTTAGAATAGCCCCTGTTATGTAATAATTTATGTATTTAATAATTTACAAAGCATTTCGCATAATATAGTAATTTTTAAAAAATGTAATATAAGTATATTTTCTTTTTCAAATTTTAGTTTTTTGTGCTTAGATTAGAGCGGTAGATAATTTACAAATTTTCTTTTTATTTTCAGCGCATTTTGAAACGCCTAGAATTGTCAAAACAATTGCGTGGTCAAGTTGTAAAAACAAAATGCTTTAAGTGTAATCTGGAATGGCATTTGATCACACTTTTATTTTTTATAATGTCTGGCAAACTTGAGTCTTTGTCGGACAAATTGTCTGGTAGAAAAAAGTTTCTTATTTCGAGCCCTGTATAGTATATTCCTTATTTTTTTTATCAATATAATGACAAATTATTGAAAGTGTACCACTAGCTTGAGATTTTTCTTCACTTCCATTAAGGCTGCAAGCAACCACTATTTGAGTTGGAAGTTACTAATAGTAGTAAGTTAAGAAGAAAAATGAAATTAATAGAGCAAGAAAATGATTAACAGACAACTTAAAAGATTACAAATTAAATGAATCAGGAAAACAAGAAGAAGGAAGCGAATTCCAAAGGACTAATGTTCGCGGAAGAAAACTAGGGGAGTAAGACACTTACTTGCCTCTTACGCGAGTAAGACTCTTACTCCCCTAGTTTTTTTCTGCGAACATTAGTCCTTTGGAATTCGCTTCCTTCTTCTTGTTTTCCTGATTCATTTAATTTGCAATCTTTCAAGTTGTCTGTTAATCATTATCTTGCTCTATTAATTTCAATATTAGTTTTTGGAGCACTTAGAAACAGTCACAGTAAAATGATAAAACTTAATTGAATGACAAGTAACAAAAGATTGAATTTTAGTAGATAGCACAAGAGACGTTAACTCTTTTGAGCAGTTTTTTGGGTAAAGACATATTGGTCAAATGACCAGTGAACTATACCTTCTAGATTTTATATTTTTACATAAAGAATGAAATGATTTTTTAATATGAGAAAGATTTGTATCATCAGCAAACAGATAAATGGGCAAGAATTGAACAGATTTGGTTAGGTTGTTAACATAAATAAAAAATAAAATAAGACCACGAACAGAACCTAATTGAGGAAACTCAATTTGATTCATGCCTAAAACATTAATGTTTAAACAAATTAAAAGACTGGAATGTTTTTAAAAAAACATTCTGAATGTTTTTTTTAAACTGCAAAACATGCGTGAAATGTTGCTACATCGACTATCTTATAGCCTGCTGCTACAAGGAAGTGCCGCTACATCCACTGATGCTTTGGTTGGGGCATATATATATATATATATATATATATATATATATATATATATATATATATATATATATATATATATATATATGTGTATATATATATATATATATATATATATATTTATATATATATATATATATATACAATCTTTGAATGTCATTTTCTTGTTATTTTCTTGTTATATTAACGGTATAGACTATTTAAATAATGGTTCAAAAAACACCACATTTCAACCATTAGATACTCAACCCTTTACAGGCCTTCTCAGAAGACGCGTGCGGTCGCACGCCTTGAATGACCACGCATATATATTTTTTTGTTAATAATGTGGCCACGATTTTTTTTGCATTTATTAAAAATGACGCATTTTAAAAACGCTCTGAAAAAATCAAACTAATAAGTCATCTTATTGGTTTTTTTTTATTAATAATAATTTATTATTACAATTATTTATGAGAAAATTAAAACCTAACAATAATGCACATATATATATTTGTAATTAATGATAAAATAAAGAGATAAAAATAATATATAAATATATATATTTTTATTTGTTTTCATGCATTTAATAAAATTCTGGCAATTTTTCGTTAAGTTTTTATTTACTAAATGAATTACGTCATTAAGTAATTATTATTTCTTCCTGTTGGCTTGACAAGGTTTTAACTGAAACTTTTTATATAAGGAGAATTAAAAAAAAAAAATTTTTTTTTCCATATGTATTAAAATTATTTATTTTATTGTTTTTTTTTTGTTTGTTTATGTACTATTATTTTGGTGGACATATAGATGTTTAGAAAAGATTTAAATATTTAAAAATTTAACTTTGCAGCAAAGCCGACGCGATAGGGGTGTGTGTGTGTGTGGGGGGGAGGTTAAGCCTCCTTTCCCCCACCCCCACCCCCCCCCCCACCCCTTCATCAATGATTTTTAGTCAGCAAATTTGACCCTTAGTCGGCAAATGTGACCCTTTTTGACAGCAAATGTCGTTATGGCAGTTGGTAAATTTTAAAAAACGAGGACCTTTTTTTTTATATATATATTTTTATTTTTAAGACGTCGAAAGTTGTTATGGCACAGCACCCCCCCTACCCACGTGACCCCTACTCGCGCCGGCTCTGCTTAGCAGCATTATAAAAATTCATTCTTATAAAAATAAAGCAATACGCATAAACGTAAGAAGTGTAAATAGAAACTTCAACAAACCAATTACTCAATTAAGTAATAATATAGATGTAAAACTAAAATATTTTTCTGAAGTTACTCTTGGTCTTGAGAAAAAATTATTTCCGGTTTGATAACTTTGATGAAAGTTATAAAAAATCACTCAGGAAGAATGCCACCAGTTTTTAAAAAATTTCTTTGTTAATTATTTTTAATGAATGAGTTCAATACTTATGCAATTTTTTCCTTACGTAACTCTTAATAATAGATAAAAAAAAATCATGATAACCGCTCAATAATGTAAGTGATGTTATTTAAGTAAAAAATACAGTATCAAAAAAAACAAGTTTATTTTAAAAAACTTTTTATAAAAATTTTAAATTGGTATAGAATTATCTGCATTTTGTAAAAGTTTCTAATACAGACTGATTTACTGATTTGCAGAAATGAGACCTATAAGTTGAATTTGTTTTTTTACCTTGTTTTCCGTGTAACATCAGTGCAAGTGGCATTTTTAGTAATAAGTTTGCTTTCTTTCGGCCGAACACAAAACTTTTAAGCTTATTTTATTTATTAGACTAACAGCTTTTATACAAAATTGCTAAAAGTTTAATTTAAAAGTTTAAATAAGCTAATATTTGGTAAAGTTATTGCGCGTGTAATGTAAGTTAAAAATGGAAATGCCTATATATGTTATTTTAATGTTTCTATTTTCTCATTAATAACTATAATAATGAACTATTAATAATAATTAAAAAAAGATGAGCAATTAATTTTGTTTTTCAACGCGTTTTTAAGATGCAGCATTTTTAATAAATGCAAAAAAAATCGTGGCCATGTTATCAACAAAAAAATATATATGCGTGGTCATTCAACCGAATGACCACGCATATATATTTTTTTGTTGATAACATGGCCACGATTCTCAGCGACCGCACGCGTTTACTGAGAAGGCCTGCTTTATAAAACTACCTTGGATACCAATTAATGGATATTATAACTAATATTGAAACTTGCGCTTTACAACTTGAAAAACTTAAAAAACCAACACATGCAGAAACTCTACGGCAAAAATGTTCACAAATTTTAACAAATTCACTAAAATTATTATTAAAAGATAATTTAACTAAGCAACAAAGCTTTCCATAAACAAGTTAAAAAACAATTCTAACATTAAGATATACCCTTTCGATAAAGGCTCAGGTTTCGCATTATTAAACCAAAAAGATGCATCTCTCAAATTAGATGAACAAATAAAAAATAGCAAAATTATTGATTATGATCCAACATCCACATTGACTACTAAAGTTCAAAGACAATTGTGCAAATTAAGAAAAGAAGGTAAACTAGACACAAATACATACTTTAAAATGTATCCCTCAGATTGTAACCCACCAAGGATTTACGGAATGATTAAAGCTCACAAACCAGAAAAAGATTACCCAATGCGCCCTGTTGTATCAACAATTAACACACCACCTTATGGAACATCTGATTATCTTGTTAAAATTATTCAACCGACTCTGAACAAAAATAAAAGTAGACTTATGAATTCGAATAGTTTTGTAAATGAAGCTAAGCAATGGATAATAGATCCTAACGAAGTTCCAGTTTCATTTGATATAGTCAATTTATATCCATCCATACCAATTGACGAAGCAATTCCGGTTATTATTGATATATTGAACACTGACATTGATGACTTAAAAACTCGAACTAAACTTACTCTTGCAGACATACATCAATTAATTGAACTTTCATTAAGTATATGCTATTTTTTTATAAGAAAACAGTATCCGAATAATACCTAATTCAGGTCCTATAGGTTTATCTTTAATGATTGTAATGAGAGAAGCGTTTTTACAAAATATAGAAAGAAAAGCCCTTAACATAGCAATTATTCATACATCCAAACCAAAAACTTACAAGAGATATGTAGATGATTGTCATGCTCGCTTTGCTTCAATAAAACAACAACAAATGTTCCTGAACATACTTAATGAACAACATCCTGCCATAAAATACACAGTGGAACTTGAAAACGACTTCAAAAAACTCAATTTTCTAAATATTAATATTACAAACACAGGCTCTGGAACTTATGAATTTCAAATACATAGAAAAGAAGCTATTACAAATGTTCAACTTAAACCTGAATCAAACATTAATCCTTACATAATTGGCGTTTTCAAAGGATTTTTATGTCGTGCTAAAAGAATATGCTCTCAAAAACACCTTCAAAAAGAAATTGATTTTCTAATAGACATCTTAGTTAAAAATGGCCACGACAAGAACATTCCAAATAATATTGCTATAGACTATTTAAAAAATGGTTTAAAAACACCACATTTCAACCATTAGATACTCAACCCTTTATAAAACTACCTTGGATACCAATTGTTAGTCCAAAACTTTGTAAAGAATTTCGAAAACAAAACATAAAGGTTATTTTCACTTCAACTCCCAATTTAAAAAATATTTTTTGCAACAATAAAACTAAACTACCACTAAACACAGACCCTGGCGTATACCAGCTAAAATGTTCATGCGGTTCGATATACATTGGCGAAACTAAAAAGAAGGTGATATCGAGATAACACCAAAAAAACAGCCTAAAAGGAAAATGGTCCAGTTTGGGTGTAACTGAACATTCTAAAACATGCCATGGTAAGTTTGATTGGTTGCACCCCAAAATATTATCTGTAGCCCCAGAATATCAAACTCGGAAAGTCAGAGAGTCACTCGAAATAAGCAAGGCTAGGGTTCAACAGGAGTTGAGAAATGGTGACGCGGTTCTCAATCGGGATGACGGTGATAACGTAACAACTAAAACCTGGGGGCAATTTTTTAATAAAATCTGCTGACGTTAGTTATCTGAAAAGTTTGTAACGGTTTGTTTTTACTATAACGATTTTTGTAACTATTTTATTTATTAGACCTGATGACGCTGATCACAATAGGTCAACGAAATATCGAAATAATTATATATTAAAGAAAAAATATATATAAAAAAAAGTTTATACACAGTCGTATTTATTGAATTCTAACCATATATATATATATATATATATATATATATATATATATATATATATATATATATATATATATATATATATATATATATATATATATATATATATATATATATATATATATATATATATAACACATACTTATATAACACATATTTATTTTGTCTAGAAAAAAGTTTATGCAAAACTAAAGTCATATGTTCCATCACACTTTAAAGCTGCTGGTCATAAGCGTGTAATATTTCCATCTTTGGGAAAGTATATTTTTGACCATCTTCCATTAGCACTATTGGTAAGTTCATTTGTTGTGGTGTGTCAAGGCGAATAAATGTAACTCTATGTTGTAAGAAATTTGCTTTTGAGTGAAATGTTTGAATTTTTTTTTTTTATTGGATCTAGAAAATTACCAAGCAAAAATCCAGTCATTTTTCACTATGAGTTATTAAACTAGGGCTTATTTTAATAATTGCATTATTATAAAGTGTTTTGTCAAACTATTTAAGCAATTTTGAACATTTTGACATTCTTTATATTTTTTGATTTTTAATGTTTAAAAACTTGGATAGGAGGTGTATGTATAGTGGAGATTCTTATTAGTTCTTATAAATCTAGCAGTAGTGAATTTCTTTTTATAAAACTCTGCTTGCTGGATAACTATGACCTGATTGTTTTCCACATCAACAGACCTTTACAAATATAAATCTTATTTCTGGCACATCAAAAGTATCAGTAATGCTGTCATTAAATCCATCACCATCAAGATTGTATGTACTCTCATCAGAAAAAATTTGTTTATCTATTGATTCATCTGATGATATTTTTTAATGGATCACTTTTTTGGAGGTTTATCCAGTAGTTTCTTCTTCCTGAATTGCTTTTTTTTTTATCTTCTTCGCCATTCTTGCTTTTTTTTGCTGCAATTGTCTCTTTTTTTACTGCAATTGTTTTTTTGGGGTATTGGTGGCTTAGATCCATCTTGGTTAGTTCTAAGCCACCAATAGGGTATTGACTTTTATTAACAATGGTATCTACCTTTGCATTGTTCTCAATCAGTGTTTAATTTTCATGGAGTTGCTTTGGGATACAGGTTAATTTTTTGTGGGGAAACATGAATTAATAGATACTCGTTGCTTTGGTGAAGATGAGACATGCTTTCTACATCATTGTTTCGAGATGCGTCTAAAACATTTAAAAGAGATGCTAGCATGATCATTTTATGACCAACATCATAAGATTAAGAAGTTGATGGTGTTTCAATAAAAGTCCTATAAATAATTGATGTTGCTGGTATCTAGGGAATCCAATACCGGTATACCGATATACCCAAAAACCGGGTTTTTGATAGATTTTTTCTAGTTTTGAATACCCGTATTAAAAGGCTTAAATACCGGTATTTTGGTATTTGAATGGTTGTTTTATTTTTTATAATTTTTAGCAATATTTGTATACTTCATGTACTTTTTTAAATTAAAAAAGTGTTACAACATTTAAGTAGATATTAAAATGCAACTATTTTTGAACATATAGCATTGTCGTATTTCAGATTATAAATATACGAAAATTCGTAAACATTTGTTGCTTATTTTTAAAATATTTTTTATTCTATCATGTGTTTAAACTCTTTGTTTGAGTAAAAACCTAGTATATTAAAGTTTTCAAACTCTTATTCATAGACAACTCTTTGATGAAACTCTTCGCATTATTACTTAACTCATTTTTAAAATCATTCAAATTCCTGGGAGATTTATAATTATGGGCTTTTGTTTTTATTCTTTTTTGAAACAATTATAAGTGCTTGTACTTTAAAGCAATGTGTTAAATATTCTTTAGTTTTTGAGTTCTTGATTTTACATTTTTAGTTATACAGCGAGGATCTAAAAGTGAAAAATGAGTTCACATTTATACAAATTACAAAATCTTTATATACCTATTTCTTTAATACTTTTTAAAAATATTTAACAAGAACAACTTTGGTAAGTTAAAAAATTGACATTTTCAAGTTTAAATTTAAATATTTAAATTCATTTTATTTAATGTTTATATCAGTCACATTATGTGACTGATACAGGTTTGGTCGGGAAGTGGGAGCGATCGCTCTCGATTGCTGACCACAGAAATAATATTTAGTTGCAAAAAGCTGGCCAGATTTTTTAGTCGTTTTGAGAACATTTTAAAAGGCAAAAAAAAAAATGCGCAAAAGATTAATTGGACCAATGAGAGACAATTTCAAAAAAAAAGAAATTAGGAAAATAAAATATATTTTAACGCGAAAAAACTTAAAGCAAAATATATTACGTTTAGAACAAATATTTTCGAAACATCTCTCTTTTATAATTTTTTTAATAAAATCAAGCGATGTTTTTTTATATCAAGTAACATCTTACAATTGTTCAAAAAGGAAACAAATGTTCTTTATTCAACAAAGTTTGCAAGTTTTAGTTTTATTTAAGCTAAATTATTTTATAAATAAAAAAGTTAATTTTTACTTTAAGTTAATAATACCTATATTATGTTTCACATAGTTTGAAAAGTTTAACATATTTGAAGCAATTCTTCTAAGTAAGATAAACAAATGAAATAATTAAATCATTGAATTACTATAGAAATAAAATAAACTAGATAGAAATCAATTAAAAAGGTTAAAAATACTTAATGGCGAGGAAGTGAAACTGCTTCACAATATCACTGATGATGTTTAGTGAGTGGGTTTTTTAATTTTAATTAGTATTTAAAGCAGAAAAAAGTATAACAAGTTTTAAAAATGACAACTTAAGCAAAAATAGTTAATAAACCAATATCTATAAACTTTTTTTTTATCTAAAAATTTGCTATATATATTTGTGTTCTGTCGTGACCTCAGACACGGTGCTTGTTCATCCGCGAGTTACTTTGTATGCATTGTTTGTGTTTAGTAACCAGAAACTTCTTATATGTATGTTACATAATTAGTTTTATTAACTTTAATGATTATAACTTCATTGAAAACGCAATTTTTTTTAGTCTTTGTTTAAATCAAAAAAATTGATTTAAAAGATACATTACGATAAAAAAAAGATGCACAAAATTACATTTACATAAAGAATATATACTTTTTAAATAAAAAATAAGAATATAGTAATAAAATCTATAATTTATAATAAACTTTCAAATTTTGACAATTAAATATATATTTAATATATATTTAAAACATTTGTTTTTGTAAGCAAATAGTATATATTCTTAAAACAGTTTATGCTAGAAATCTCAAAACATAACAAATCGTGAATAATACAATTTCTGAAACATTTCAACAGAATGTTCTAGAACTTTATTTCGCTTAGTCAGCGTATTTTTTGAACCAATAGAATTAGTTTGTTTGTTAATTTGGCAGTTTTTTAGTGTTTGCGAATAATCTTTTTATTCTTCCAAGATGTTTTGAGAACATTCAAGTTTTTTATGTTTCCATGTATGTCCATAAAACAAAAATATCTTTGTTTCGTACATAAACTTAAATGTTCTCAAACGACTAAAAAACCTGGCCAGTTTTTTGCAACTAAATATAATTTGGTCAGTATTTGAGAGCACTGTCGCTTCCCGACCAAGCCTGCTAATATAAACATTGTGAGGATAAAATATGTAACGCATATTTACAAATTGAGATTATATTCTAATTTAGCCAATGGAAAGTGAAATTAAAAAGTTTAGACGGAGATAAATATTCTGTTTGGTTTTTTTTTCTCAAAGATGAAAAAGGGCATAGTGCAAAGTGTAAGAAGTACGCAAAAATTATAAAAACAGCAGGTGGCTCAACAAGCATCCTTCATACGCATTTAAAAACAAAGCATGATGTAATATTACAAAAACAAGATGCTATTGAACCTCTTGGTGAATCTAGTTCAATATCTGAATCGCCTCCTCCAAAGATTACTAAATATTTTAAAAAAACTACTCGCTGGCAGCAATCTTATCAAAAATTACAGCACTTGATGGGCTTCCATTTAGAATTTTTATAACATCCAATGATCTTTGAAAATCATTAAATTCATCAAATTTAAGTGGTGAACTTCCAAAATCTGCCTCGGCTATTCAAAAAATTGTCACTAGTTATAGCAAAACTATTCGGCAGTTAGTAATTAAAGAAATATCAGAATATAAATTAAATGGAAAAGGTTTTAGTATTAATTTTGATGAGTGGACTTCCTTAAGGAACCGGCAGTACATAAACGTGATTCTTCACTTGGAGTCAAAGTTTTGGAATTTAGGACTTCTCCGAATCAATGAAAGTTTACATGCAGAAAAATGTGTCTTACTTTTAAGTGAAAAATTGAATCAGTATGGTTTGTCATTAGAAAAGAATATAGTTTGTTTAACAAATGATGGTGCAGCAGTTATGCAAAAAATAGGCAAATTAATACCGGCTGCTCAGCAGTTGTGTTTGGCCCATGCAATTCAACTTGCAGTTGTAGATGTTTTATATAAAAAAGTAAGAACCATTTGCTCGAGTGAATCAATAGACTTCGACTCATATTCAGATGCCAAAAAGTACAAAAACTATGGTGCCTTTGAAAATATTTCAAATACATACAAAGAAGGTTTAGTTATGGATTATGATATAAAGAACAAGATAAAGAAATAACAGAAACTGATTTAAAAAAAGTTTTAGCTATTATCTCAGCACTTTTGCCAGTAAAATTAGCTGTCGAGTCACTGTCGCAAGGATGCTAACTTAATTTCTGCGAATGCAGCATTTACATTTATATTTGACAGGCTAAGTGAAATTAAGTCATCATTTAGCATTGAATTTCTAAGTGCTTTAAAATAGTGTGTTATTGCAAGAAGAACGTAGTTGTCCAATTTAATTTCTTATCTGCATAAAGGTCTAAAAGATGGTATTAGAAACTCAAATTTATTAAGTTTTAACTTTCCACGTGCATTAAAAGCGAGCAATCTCAATTCACTTTTGGGCATTGTAAATCAGAAGGGAGTTTGGAATCAAAGCACTGCTGTTGAAGTACAAGCCCGGGAAATTCTTCACTTCGAGGTTAGCGAAGTTGAGATTGACAAAGGAAAAAATTATGAGAAATCAATGAAAAAAGAGATGTACAATTTGTGAACAAATAAACTATAAGGTTGTCGGGAAACAACCGGAACACTCTGGTGATCAAGTGTTTAAAAAAAGAAATGAGTCTCTTTGAAGATGAAAGTGTGCAAAGAAAATATCTCCAACAGGTTTATGATCTTCTTTTAAGGATTCGACCAACTAGCATTGAATCTGAAAGAGCATTTTCTGCTGCCAGTATTATTTTAAATAAGTTACGGTGCAAAATGGATGAAAAAACTCTGGGTGCTCTTTGTTTTTTAAGAGCTTATTTTCATAGAATGAAAGATAAAGGTTCTACCATATAGATCAATAAATTTGCATTCTTTTCAAGTTTTCGTGATTTGTAAATTTATTCACTTTCCTTTAAAAATACCGGTATTCTGGTATTATATTTTTATAATATCGAAATACTGGTATTGATTTTTTGACCGGTATTGGATTCCCTACTGGTATCAGATCACTATCATCATCATTGGGTTGAACTGTTGCAAGAAGTTGAGCAATAATTAGAGATAAGACTCATCTATCAACACTATTATGAGTTGTTTCAAGTCTATTTGATTTGATGCAGTCTTCAGTTGATCTGTCACATAAGTTGATAATTAATTTTCATTCGTTACTATAGTTTTATCAAAGAGCCAAGTACCATCTAAATCCAGATTTTATATTTGTAGGAGTAGCAGCTCTATCCCAAGTTCGGAAACAAATTTGTGGTATATCATAAATACTAAAAGTTTGACCTGGGTATTCTAACATGTTCAGACCACTATTGTAAAAACGCTTTAATGGCTTAAACAGTTTTGTCAAATATTAAAGTTTATTTGATGTGTATGTTGGGATCTAAGAATGACAGTTCCACTTGTCTTGCAGTAGTTTAGACTTTCTACAGATAAATGGGACTTGTGGTTGTCCATGATCAACAAGACCTTGACTTTAGCTGCACTGTGGTTTTATCCAGATTTTAAATATGGGATAATATGAAGTTGTATTGTGTAATAACATCCTGAAGTTTATTTTAAAATATGCTATCTTATTCTATTGAAACTGTTTATTCAACTGAAACTTGTTTCTTCAGGTTCCTATTGGCAGGTTAGGATGGGGTTTCATATATGATACTTTAGACAAACCGCACAAATGAAGATCAAAATGAACATTTTCAGAATATTTTATTTCAGAAAAGGTACAATTCCCATTAGGGTGTATTGAAAAAATTAAAGGAATTGTTAAAAAAGAATAAGCTATAAATACTTACATTACCAAATGTGTGCAAATAATAGTTTATTCTGAAGAAAATATATACAATTTGACAGAGATCATAACCAGGATCTAAATGATTTACTTTTAATCAAAAATTTTACATTAACTAACCAAAATAATATTTTTTTACTCTGTTTTCTGTTTTCTTGTTCTTAAATCTGTTTTCTTATTCTTAACTTAAAATCTGGTTGTTTTTTTAACTGTTTCAAAACTAAGAACATATGTCTTCTAAAATATCGACCATAGACTACATTTTTCTAGTGCCAACAAGGGTGGTAGATTTCCAAGTGTACATTCTCTCTCTGTGTCTGAAGTCTAAACAAATCCAATCCAGAATCATAATAATAAAATTACTTTTTATGAATTAATTAGGATTTAATTTATACTGTTGAAAAAAGTAAATTGTATATTTGGTTCTATAGTATTATATAACCAAAAGTACCTTTTACTTAATTAACAAACATACATTTCATAGAATTATAGTAATATAAAGATAATATTTGTTATATTTAGTCATTTAGAGCTTATCATAAAGTTATAAAATCATTTTTACATTTTAAATTTTATAATAATTAATTAAATATAAATTTTACATAAGTTAGTTGTGTAATGAACAAACATTAACTTATTAATTATACTTAATAATGGTTTTAGAACATTTAGAACGTAATAAGTTTTTGATGGAGAATCTGTTTTTTATTGTTAAAATAGTTTTAATTTTATTTGCAATTTTAATTTTTGAAACATAACTCTTTTTAATGTGTCCCCCATACCATCACACAAAAATTATACTTTGATTTCATAATGTGGAATAAATATTTGAATTAATAGTTCTCCAAAATTCTCATTTTTGTTGACAGATAGAATTTATTAGTTAATTAATGGTTGTTTAAAAGATAAATTTTGGACTTTTGTTTTTTTAGGTTCGAATTGTTGATTGTTTTCTAGTTGATGGACCAAAGATATTTTATCGTGTAGGATTGTATCTACTGAATCATTTTTACACTCATTCCTTAACACTCGATCATTTTTGTAAGTAATACTTACTTTATCAATATGTACATAATTGTATTGTTTTTAATTGATAACACTATTTAAGAAAGTGGTTATGTATATATATATATATATATATATATATATATATATATATATATATATATATATATATATATATATATATATATATATATATATATATATATATATATATATATAATATAATATATAATAAAAAATATATCAGGTCTTGTTATAAGATTTTGTTGTGTAATGGAAAAGCGCAACGCAAATAAATAACTTTACTCAATAAAGATATTTACATCTCTAAAAGTTCAATTGCATCAGTTGCATATTTTAAAATACCTCATTATAATTAAATTTAAAATCGCATTAAAAATTATTTTTAATGCGATTTTAAATTTTAAAGTCTTTTAGATTTTAAAGTCTTTTAAATTTAAACAATATTGTTTTAAATAAAATTTAAATGTTGATTAAAAAAAAATTTCCTTATTTTAAAATCTTATACTTATTTAAACTTAAATTTTTTTTTTTTTATATTCGTTTTTATGGTTGTTTTTTTTTTTAATGAGGGGACACTTGTTTATGGTTGATTTTTTAAAAGGAATTTAAATTTACTTTCAACTACACAATTAGATTGGGTTTTCCCATTTATAAAAAAACTTTTGTGCTACCTAAAGCATTTTAGTTACTGGCTTTTGATAAAATAATTATTCTTACTAAACAAAGATTACCGCTTTTTGGCTTTGTTTTTTTTTTTTGCATTAAAATATTTTATTTTTATGTACCATGAAACCTAATATATTTTCACTATTTCTTACTAAATCCAAAAAGAAAAATAGTATTTTCGGTTTTAAGATGTTAATAGCAGAACTTGTTTTTATAAAATATAAGTATAATTTTGAAATTTATGTATATTATATTAATGTATATTATATAATATTTATCACTAGTTTTGTTTTCAAAATAAAATAAATATAAGTTAAGCTTATAAAAAGTTTATTCATTATTTTTAATCAATTTAAAGTTTGGTTTGTTTAAAAAAAATAATGAAATTCTTTTACATAAAATTTAACGACAAAAGGAAAACCCAAACATAACATTTATCACTCGAGTTTGAAAGAACTTTTTTGTATTGACGTCATTTATTAACTACAAA